ATGATCTTTGAGTGAGCCATGCTTTGGTTGTTCATCGCCACAATTTGTGTCACCGTGCGGCCTCTCACTGTGGGCAGGATAATGTTTGATCGTGTCCCTCTTCTCTAGCGAGCCTGTGTCAGTCGCAAACAAAGACTGAATCCACTCGCATAAATGAAGATGAACTTCTCCCTGTCTTGTGGAGCAAGTGCTGTGAAGTCGAGAACATAAGTTTGCCGGCTTAAGATCGTCGTAGTGCTGTTGACGCAGTCAATGGCACTTCTTTAGGGTGATCTTAAGCTTTTTGAGGCCACTGAAAATTGTAGATACGGTCAAATCAGTCCCGTTCTCCTTTATCTGCCGTATCTGCATGGGATCAGTCCATGGCTCCAACCAGCGAATGTAGGCCAGGGATCAGTCCATGGCTCCATACAGAACACATAGACCAGGGATCAGTCCATGGCTCCATACAGCACACATAGACCAGGGATCAGTCCATGGCTCCATACAGCACACATAGACCAGGGATGAGTCCGTGGCTCCATACAGCACACATAGACCAGGGATCAGTCCATGGCTCCATACAGCACACATAGACCAGGGATCAGTCCATGGCTCCATACAGCACACATAGACCAGAGATCAGTCCATGGCTCCATACAGCACATAGACCAGGGATCATTCCATGGCTCCATACAGCACACATAGACCAGGGATGAGTCCGTGGCTATATACAGCACACAGACCAGGGATCAGTCCATGGCTCCATACAGCACACATAGACCAGGGATCAGTCCATGGCTCCATACAGCACACATAGACCAGGGATCAGTCCATGGCTCCATACAGCACACATAGACCAGGGATGAGTCCGTGGCTCCATACAGCACACATAGACCAGGGATCAGTCCATGGCTCCATACAGCACACATAGACCAGGGATGAGTCCGTGGCTCCATACAGCACACATAGACCAGGGATCAGTCCATGGCTCCATACAGCACACATAGACCAGGGATCAGTCCATGGCTCCATACAGCACACATAGACCAGGGATCAGTCCATGGCTCCATACAGCACACATAGACCAGGGATCAGTCCATGGCTCCATACAGCACACATAGACCAGGGATCAGTCCATGGCTCCATACAGCACATAGACCAGGGATCAGTCCATGGCTCCATACAGCACACATAGACCAGGGATCAGTCCATGGCTCCATACAGCACACATAGACCAGGGATCAGTCCATGGCTCCATACAGCACACATAGACCAGGGATCAGTCCATGGCTCCATACAGCACACATAGACCAGGGATCAGTCCATGGCTACAACCAGCACACATAGACCAGGGATGAGTCCGTGGCTCCATACAGCACACATAGACCAGGGATCAGTCCAAGGCTCCATACAGCACACTTAGACCAGGGATCAGTGCATGGCTACAACCAGCACACATAGACCAGGGATCAGTCCAAGGCTCCATACAGCACACATAGACCAGGGATCAGTCCATGGCTCCATACAGCACACATAGACCAGGGATCAGTCCATGGCTCCATACAGCACACATAGACCAGAGATCAGTCCAAGGCTCCATACAGCACACATAGACCAGGGATCAGTCCATGGCTCCATACAGCACACATAGACCAGAGATCAGTCCAAGGCTCCATACAGCACACATAGACCAGGGATCAGTCCATGGCTCCATACAGCACACATAGACCAGGGATGAGTCCATGGCTCCATACAGCACACATAGACCAGGGATGAGTCCATGGCTCCATACAGCACACATAGACCAGGGATGAGTCCATGGCTCCATACAGCACACATAGACCAGGGATGAGTCCATGGCTCCATACAGCACACATAGACCAGGGATCAGTCCATGGCTCCATACAGCACACATAGACCAGGGATCAGTCCATGGCTCCATACAGCACACATAGACCAGGGATCAGTCCATGGCTCTATACAGCACACATAGACAAGCAAAAAATAGTTGCATACTGGTGATGTAGCTCTACCATATACGCACTGAATTATGAGATATCCCTTTCTGATTTCCAGGAGAGAAAAAAAAACAGCCGGTCAATTTACCGCATCAGTAGAGCCACAAATGTGGTGCCAAAAACTGCCTTGGGAAGTAAATGTGGCCAGCATGACATTTACAACATTACCCAGAATGTGCCATTAGTAAAAATCCAGAATCAAATGTCCAATAGGCCAGTGACAAGAAACAGGCTGTTGACTATAAAAACTGTGGCGCGGTGATTTATTTCACAGGCGTGAGGGGAAGTTAAGTCCAACATGATGTGTATAAGGAGATACTTCGTACGTCCCTCGGGCGCCAGTCCTTTACTATCCTGGTTGTACGGAACCTCATGCAAGACCCCTACAGCTCGTCCTCGTCGTGCGCCATGGATAATGTCTCAAATGAGCATTAACAGAGCTGTCAGGGGATCTCGGAGTTCGGCGGCCCCCAGAGGTGATGTGTCCTTGTGGCTCTCATCAGGCCGCCCCCAAACGCTTGTGTGAAAAATGTTATTAAAACTCATTAGGAGCATGAGTAGGTTTGCCAAACGTACAGCCAAAATTACAACCCTTGGTTAAAAGACTGCAGAGTAAAGAGAACATTGTTCACTGCACATCCTCTGTTAACCCTCAGTGTCGTCGTCACCGCACTGAGGTACACCACAACAGCAACCATCCATAGGCTGGCCATCCTTGTGCATCCTCGGTTAACCCTCAGTGTCGTCGTCACCGCGCTGAGGTACACCACAACAGCAACCATCCATAGGCTGGCCATTCATGTACATCCTTGGTTAACCCTCAGTGTCGTCGTCACCGCGTTGAGGTACACCACAACAGCAACCATCCATCGGATGGCTAAGCCTAAATGTCCGACAAAACTAGATCATACGGATCAAAATCTGACCATCAAAATTTGTATTGAACTGAAAAAGACCGAATGCCCACACCCAAAGACCCCACTCGCCCGAGTGTTGGGACAAAACTGATAACGATATGCCTGATGCAGGATGTAAAATTCTGTCCGATAGTTCGGACCTACCACGGGCTGGTCCCCGCTGACTTCCTGAGGGCACAACCCCTGTCGAGCGGGAGGCCTGATACGGTTGTGAGGTTAAGCAGGCATGTGCAGGACGTGACGATTCCTTGGGTGAGCCCAGAACCAGAGCGCCATGTGCCGGCTCTGCATGCATGGAAGCCTCCTTGGATGGCGGGGAATGCCCATGATCTGCCCCTGCCTTCCCTTGAGGGCTAACTGTTCCACAGGAGGCTGCCCCAAAGGGGTACTCTGGGGGCAATACCTGCGGCGAAGGAGACAAAGTGGACACCACACAAATCAGGCAACGTCTCGACCCACACAAAACAATGGCCACAGTCACCCTAGAAATAGGCCTGACGTCTTCCTTCAAAGTCGGAGTACAGCTGCCCATGAAGCAGGGAAATGAAAAACGGTTGTACACGCAAAAATCAGGTCCAGGTGAAAGCCAAAAGTCCAAGCGGACGATTAACCTGGACCTTCCACTGGAATTCACAGCCGGTGATCGATATAAAAAAAAAAAAAAACTATAGAACTGTCACTATTGTCTGCATTTATAATTTTTTATGGCAGTCTTCTTCTACTTCTTTGCATTCACCAGCTGTAAACTCTGGTGGAAAGTTCTGGTTGTTCATCCCCTTCTGGACTGCAGTCTTGTTCCAGTACCTAAGTGTTGCATGTGCAACATTTGTGTGCAGACTGTTGGTTCCTTGCATCTCAGGTAGATGCACTTCAACTTTGACAGAAGCTCCCAATTAGTCAACTCTTACGACACGCTTTTGGGTAGGCAGTGGGTCTATTCTTGTTTTCCCCATAATAGGGCTCCGGAACCCACAGTGTAGGCAGGCATGTCATGAACCTGAGGATTTATGGCCACATGGATAGTGCTGTCGCCACAGACTATGCAGGTTAAGATGTTTACTTCTGCCACCAATAGAAAAAGCATATGACCATACCCGGGGGACGAACATGTGTCTTCCATGTGAAAGCCTGGTGATGTAACCACTCAGCCAGGACCTTATCAAAGGCAAAGGAATAAACAACACCACAGAAGAAAAACTCAGATGTAAGACAGCACATGTTTTTATATTTGATTTATTATAAAAACATGACAAATCATGAAGTTAACTACTGTCCAGACCAACAACAAACTTGGGATTCTAACATGAAATTAGCCATGGTCCTGTCAAACACACAAATCAGCAATAAGATCAGATAACACTGAAAATAAAACAGTGAATTTTGTGTCCATTTTGTAGTCACAGCAAGACTGAGCTGTGTAGTCAGATCAGGTGTCATCTTCACACAGAAGGTTGTCTGCTGAGGACCTCCAGCAGTTCTTCTCTCTTATTTAAATAACATCTTCTTTCAACCCATCTTTTGATCTTGTCTTCCTCTGTGAATTGTTCTCTCTCTCTCTCTCTCTCTCTCTCTTGCTCTTTCACTTATCCATGTCCATCTAGCCCAGTACTTTGACAGAGCACTGTCTTCCCACATGGAGAATAAGGTATTTCTCCAAGACTGATCTCGTCTTTTTTTAGTGTAAGTTTGCTGAGTTCTTCATTATTCAATGTTACTGCTCAACAACCATCTGTACAATCTCTGCTTCGGAATTCCTATCTGTATTATCTTATGCTACATCCATGAAGCCAGAATGTAATTAACGAAAGTGTGACTAAACATAAAATCCCAGTCAAGAAAAAAAAAAGACAGAGGACAAGAAATATAATATCAGGCACTACAACTGTGTGTTTGAGTGAAGTTTTCTGTTAAAAATCGGTGCCGATATCTTTCCAATACTGATGCTGTCTAGTGTGTCCCGATATTTACTTCTTTCCCACTAGTCTTTTGACCACACATAAGTGTCAGTGAGCACTTGTTAATTCCTTGATCTGTTACTTCACTGCCTTACAACCATCCTCCAAAGCACAAGCTGCTTCTAGAACTACTGTGGCAGAGACAGCAGCGTCTGTTGCCCCTGAGGCAGGTAGACGATATTCCTGGACTTGGACAATTGGTAGGCAATGTCTTCTGCAGCTTCAAGCTTCCTCAGCTCCACCAGACCTTCCCCAGCTTTGCCGAACGCTTGAGCCAACATTTCTGCAGCTAGGGAGTCTCCCTCGGCTGAGATAACAGCAGCCTTCTTCTGTTGTTCTGCCTGCAAGTTAGAAATACAAAGCAGTTAAACATTTGAAAATAACATCAATTATGTGAGAGTAGCACAGATGTGAATTTGTGGTTGGCACCTTTCTGTTTTTCCAGACGACAGTGTGCCACTGTGCTACAGGAAGACATGACAATCACGGCCAATGGTGAGTGTGACTAGCAAGACTTTACAGACGACAGTGTTCCACTGTCCTACAGGAAGACATGGCAATCACGGCCAATGGTGAGTGTGACTAGCAAGACTTTACAGACGACAGTGTTCCACTGTCCTACAGGAAGACATGGCAATCATGACTAATGGTGAGTGTGACTAGCAAGACTTTACAGACGACAGTGTTCCACTGTGCTACAGGAAGACATGGCAATCATGGCCAACGGTGAGTGTGACTAGCAAGATTTTACAGACGACAGTGTTCCACTGTGCTACAGGAAGACATGGCAATCACGGCCAATGGTGAGTGTGACTAGCAAGACTTTACAGACGACAGTGTTCCACTGTGCTACAGGAAGACATGGCAATCATGGCTAATGGTGAGTGTGACTAGCCAGACTTTACAGATGACAGTGTTCCACTGTGCTACAGGAAGACATGGCAATCACTGTCCATGGCCAATGGTGAGTGTGACTAGCCAGACTTTAGAGACGACAGTGTTCCACTGTGCTACAGAAAGACATGGCAATCATGGCTAATGGTGAGTGTGACTAGCCAGACTTTACAGACGACAGTGTTCCACTGTGCTACAGAAAGACATGGCAATCACTGTCCATGGCCAATGGTGAGTGTGACTAGCCAGACTTTAGAGACGACAGTGTTCCACTGTGCTACAGAAAGACATGGCAATCATGGCCAACGGTGAGTGTGACTAGCAAGATTTTACAGACGACAGTGTTCCACTGTGCTACAGGAAGACATGGCAATCACGGCCAATGGTGAGTGTGACTAGCAAGACTTTACAGACGACAGTGTTCCACTGTGCTACAGGAAGACATGGCTAATGGTGAGTGTGACTAGCCAGACTTTACAGACGACAGTGTTCCACTGTGCTACAGAAAGACATGGCAATTATGGCTAATGGTGAGTGTGACTAGCCAGACTTTACAGACGACAGTGTTCCACTGTGCTACACAAAGACATGGCAATCACTGTCCATGGCCAATGGTGAGTGTGACTAGCAAGACTTTACAGACGACAGTGTTCCACTGTGCTACAGAAAGACATGGCAATCACGGCCCATGATGAGTGTGACTAGCAAGACTTTACAGACGACAGTGTTCCACTGTGCTACAGAAAGACATGGCAATCACGGCCAATGATGAGTGTGACTAGCAAGATTTTACAGACGACAGTGTTCCACTGTGCTACAGAAAGACATGGCAATCACGGCCAATGATGAGTGTGACTAGCAAGACTTTCCAGACGACAGTGTTCCACTGTGCTACAGGAAGACATGGCAATCACGGCCAATGGTGAGTGTGACTAGCAAGACTTTCCAGACGACAGTGTTTCACTGTGCTACAGAAAGACATGGCAATCACGGCCAATGGTGAGTGTGACTAGCAAGACTTTACAGATGACAGTGTTCCACTGTGCTACAGAAAGACATGGCAATCACGGCCAATGATGAGTGTGACTAGCAAGACTTTACAGACGACAGTGTTCCACTGTGCTACAGAAAGACATGGCAATCACAGCCAATGGTGAGTGTGACTAGCAAGACTTTCCAGACGACAGTGTTCCACTGTGCTACAGGAAGACATGGCAATCACGGCCAATGGTGAGTGTGACTAGCAAGACTTTACAGACGACAGTGTTCCACTGTCCTACAGGAAGACATGGCAATCACGGCCAATGGTGAGTGTGACTAGCAAGACTTTACAGACGACAGTGTTCCACTGTCCTACAGGAAGACATGGCAATCAAGGCTAATGGTGAGTGTGACTAGCAAGACTTTACAGATGACAGTGTTCCACTGTGCTACAGAAAGACATGGCAATCATGGCAATCATGGCTAATGGTGAGTGTGACTAGCAAGACTTTACAGATGACAGTGTTCCACTGTGCTACAGGAAGACATGGCAATCACGGCCCATGATGAGTGTGACTAGCAAGACTTTACAGACGACAGAGTTCCACTGTGCTACAGAAAGACATGGCAATCATGGCTAATGGTGAGTGTGACTAGCAAGACTTTACAGACGACAGTGTTCCACTGTGCTACAGGAAGACATGGCAATCATGGCTAATGGTGAGTGTGACTAGCCAGACTTTACAGATGACAGAGTTCCACTGTGCTACAGGAAGACATGGCAATCACGGCTAATGGTGAGTGTGACTAGCAAGACTTTACAGACGACAGTGTTCCACTGTGCTACAGAAAGACATGGCAATCATGGCTAATGGTGAGTGTGACTAGCCAGACTTTACAGACGACAGTGTTCCACTGTCCTACAGGAAGACATGGCAATCATGGCTAATGGTGAGTGTGACTAGCCAGACTTTACAGATGACAGTGTTTCACTGTGCTACAGAAAGACATGGCAATCATGGCTAATGGTGAGTGTGACTAGCAAGACTTTACAGACGACAGTGTTCCACTGTCCTACAGGAAGACATGGCAATCATGGCCAATGGTGAGTGTGACTAGCAAGATTTTCAGGCTGGGAATTTATGTTCTTGTTGCCGTGCCGAGTATATAGTTTTCAATTCTGAAGGCCTTAAAATGTACAACATTTTTTTTTTTAAAGTTACCTCTTTTGCTGTATCTTACTCCTGCGATGACAGGTGAATGAAACACAGAGATTTGTGACCTGCCTCATTGTAAAGCAAAGTGATTTTATGTATCCAAGGTCGTAAGCGTATAAGTGTCAATTTTTTGCTGTACGCTGACGAAGGGTTTTTAATCACAAAATTTATTTTATCATTTATGATGTGGTTTTGTGATAATATTGTGGAAAAGTCCATCTTTTCATTTAAAAGTTAATAATTTTCTTTGCATTCATTAAAAAACTGTTCTGGCTAAATATCACTATTTACCGCATATGACAAGAAATGAGTAACCATACACAAATTACCAGTTCTTACAACCTGGTACCCTCTGAGCATAAGGTGGATGCCCTATCTCCTCTGCCAGTTTTGCTCCTGCCTTCAGCTGGTAACTTCAGTATGGTTGATATAAATGGACCATGTTCACAAATATGGCAGTCTTCAAACCCCCCCCCATCTTTGTCTTAACGTTCACCAGCTGTAAAACTGATGGAAAGTTCTGGTTGATCGTCCACTCCTAGACTTTGTGCGTGTTGTAGAACTGGAGTTTGTGTGCTCATGTTTTACAGTTCTGCTTTATATGTACGCAGACTGTTGGTACCTTGCAAAGAAAACATCTATAATTAATATTCTTTCATGACATGTTTATTATGGGGGCAGTGAAACTACCCCACCCCCCCCCCCCCACAATCCACACAGGAATAACCCCACTTCTACTTCAAAGCACTCTTGAATTACAGTTCCAACTTAGCCTTACCTTTTCCACAATGTACCGAGCTCTCTCTGCTTCCTGCTGAGCCACCTGTTTCAATTCAACAGCTTCTGTAAACTCTCTACCAAATGTGAGGTGAGTCTGAAGACAGCAATGGTAAGAATTACAGTCAGGCTTTTTCGCTTCTGAATAAACAGCACAGTTATCAATGTTATTTCCTTAACTTTAAATCCTGTTAGCCTTATCCCTTGTCAACCATAAACATCTGTCAACATTATACCCCTGTCAACCATTACATAGGTTAATTCCCTGCCGCCCATCAACACCAACTACAGTTCTACTTTGTTAATCACAACAGCAGTAATTCCTGAGTTAGAAAAAGAAATCTTGCTTGCTAAATACATCCAGTTTTAACATATGGCTGTGAATCCTGGACAATCGGTAGGCAGGCCAAACAATTTCTAGAGATGTGGTTTTACAGAAGAATGCTTAGAATACCTTGGACAGCCAAAAAGAGCAACCAAGAGGTTTTGAAAGAGGCGGGAGCCCGAGGGCAACTTATCACAGACATCAGAAGGAGACAGTCATCGTTTTTCGGCCATGTTATGAGAAGAGGGAAAATAGAACATGTGACCACTGGAAAGATCTGTGGAAGGAGGGATAGAGGAAGACAACGAGAGAAGATGCTTGACAGTCTTATGGCATGGCATGGAGGTGTGTCGGCACACGAACTGATACATGCTGCAGGAGATCGCAGATTATGGAGAGGCATGATCGCCCACGCCAGTCGGCAAGGCACCTGATGATGATGAGTAATTCCTACTCCATTAATTCTATTCCTTGGCAACCCTTTTCCCACCAACTATACCAAACCTAATCACCCAGCAGCGCCATCTCTCATCAAGCCCTAAAATCAACATGTCCACTTACCAAAGATATATCATCAAGGATTAGGCCAAACTGGAGGGCCCTTTCCGAAAGCTCTTCGCTGACTTTAGTGGAGACGAGCTCTCTTTGTGTAATGAGGTCACTGGCGTCAAACTGTGCCTGTAGGGGTGATGCCAGCAGACAATCAACAAATGTACTGTTCATGTGGCTGACGTGTCATGTAAGGCATCAGGAGACTGTGAAATCAGATGTAATGAGGTTTTTGCGAAAGATGTAATGAGAATTTTGTGAAGATGTAATGAGAACTTAGTGAAGATGTAATGAGGATTTTGTGAAGCAAGATATAATAAGGTTTTTGTGAAGATGTAATGAGGATTTTATGAAGTACTAGCTGTACCCGGCCACGCGTTGCTATGGCATAGTTTGGCTAAATAGAAAAGAAAGAAAATAGAAATCGCACATGTCTAATATAGTTAATGTCTGCACAGATATAGAGATAGTCTGGTTTTCCAATTTTAGAACACGCACCATATAATTGTGTCTTTATATTAGTGGTCGTTTAAATGGTGTTATTAGCACAGTAACAAAAATGGTTATTTGGTTATCACATGCTAAAGCTGTATTTTTATGGGAGACGGAAGTAAAGCTACTACTGTGCTTGTAAAAAACAAAGTAGGTCGTAAACAATTAGAATAGCGGAGGTAGCGTTAGTAAAATATAAACAAATTAAGCAATGAGATCTTTAAAATCATGTGTTAAGCTCTTTAAGTTACCAATTTCAGTCATCACCCCCTCCCTTCATCCACCGACTACTGCTCTCTCCCTCTTCGAAGGATTTGAAAATCATCACCTGGCGATATTTTTTTTGTAACTGACATTGACATCCCTGTCCATCCGGACTAAAATGGGGAGCAGGAATTGTAATAGGTAGTAAATGGGGCTAGTGTAATATTTACCACACCATCCTTTAAGTACCAACACAGCTACTACCACGACCACCACCACAATAGCTAAAAAAAATTTCACTGCTATCTGTTTTACCATCGGAGTAGACAGGGAGTCATGAGCCAGAAGATTTGGCGCTGCATGGCTAGTGCTGTCGCCATGGACTGGTCAGGTTAGGATGTATAATTTCGCTCTTCGACAGAAGAATGCCATAACCTTACCGGCGTTCTCCGGCATGACAGCACTACGATGTAACCGCCCAACCACAACTACTACTGCAACTTTGAGTAGGTAAGGCAGTTATTGTGACCTAAAGCTCTCTCAGTAAACAGTTTGTGCCCCCCCCCCCCCAATTCACCGACTACTCTTTCCCTCATCAAAGTAGTTAGGAGAAGAAAAAAACAAGTGAAAAGCAATGAAAACAGGAAAAATAAACCAGAATTAGGAAATGAACGCTATGGTAAACAGCACAGCTTAAAATTCAAACGCAGATGAAATAATTAAATCTAAATGAAAATAAATGGAAATCTATGAAAATTCAGCGTAACCATGCAATCGGAAAGTTTGAAATGAAATCATAAGTATGCGAAATGGTCAGATTTAATTATCAACTGGTTTACCCACATACCTTACAATTTTTTTGTATTAAGGGCCACATGGCTAGTGCTGTCGCCAAGACAGTGCAGGTGAGTATTTTTTTTTTTTGCCCAAGGGTATAAAAAGAAAATACTGTACTGCGGATTCGAACCTGGTCTCCTAGTGTTCTAACCATTCGGCCAAGCAACCACTCCATCGGAGCAAGAAAAGAGTTCAAAACTATTTGAGATGTGTGTCCCTACTGCTGTGTCTTGATATATTATTGAAATGGCACAACAATAGACATCGCACGTGTCTAACACGGTTAACGTCGCAATCATTGTCTGCGCAGACGTCAAGATAGTCCTTGATGCTCCCCCCCCCCCCCCCCCTAAATCCATCAGCTACTCTCCAACTCAAAAAAGGTTGTTTGAAAAGACAGAAAAAAGAAATCGTGTCTATTATGGTTATTGTGGCAATCATTGCCTGCACAGATATAGAGATAGTCTTGTTTGCTGTACCACGGCCAACTCTATTTACTAGAGAAGGCGTTTGGCTGTACGTATCTCGCCGGCGAATGGTGAATTTCTTGCATTCCGACTACTGCGCATGCGCATTTACTAAATTGGCTATAATTAAATGTCACTAAAATGGAAATATTAGTTTGGAAGATTGCCCAACAAATGTCATCACCTATCTCTAACAATGATAGGTAGAATTTCAAACCATAAGGGGTAAACATTCGGTTTTCAAAACAAACATATCCTAAAAATTTCAGCTAAATCGGTTCAGTAGTTTCAGAGTCTATAGATCATAAACAAACACACAAACATTGATTTTTATATATATAGAAGATGTAATGAGGCTTTGTGAAATAAGATGTAATGAAGCTAATGTACTGACAGATATCGTGAAGCACGATATTTTTCTTTCACCTTATAATCTGTTACGTCAAAAATGTTTTGCAAAGTAATCCTCAACAGAATTAAAAAGCCAGTCGATACAATCATGAGAGAAGAATAAGCTGGTTTCAGAACTGGAAGGAAGTCTGGATCAAATAATTACCCTGAGACGTATTCAAAATTTGACTGTTTCAAGAAGGCCATGGAAAGCTTACACAGAATTTCACTATGGAGAATTTTGGAATGCTACAGCATACCAGCCAAAATAATACGCATTATTAGAAATTTATATGATGATTCAGAATGTGCAGTGCGCTCTGAAAATGGTCTAAGTGACTGGTTTTTGGTGGAAACTGTAGTGAAAGAAGGCTGCATTATATCTCCCTCGTTGTCTGGAGTAGCCATTGATTGGGCGATAAAAAAAATTCTGCGGAGGCAATACTGGCACTGAATGGGTGAAGAACAGACAACTGGCAGATCTAGATTGAGCAGACGATGATGTTCTGTTCAGTTTTTAAAAAAACAATGACATGCAAATAAAAACAAGACAATTTGTTGTCTACAGCATCAAAAACAGAGGACTACCAATGATAAAACAAATATATTAAAGCATCAACAACAGATCATGTAGATGTCATGCTAGAGAACAAAATCAACAAAAAAATATCCAACCATTTCACCTGTGTGGGTAGCAACTGACTCTCAAAGAAATACAATAAAGGAAATTATGATAAGTCTTGGCAAAGCAACAAGTCTTTAAAAGACTTTAAAAAAAATATGGAGCTCCAAGTTATAGAGGTTTAAGACGAAACTACAAATCTTCAATTCTAATTGTGTGTATTTTTTTTTTCTTTGTTTAGTTCTAACATATTCCCTGTGTGGATTCAGGGAAACAGAAACAGGAGAAAAAAGAATAAAGCCACGGCCTCCACAACGAGTATGTTGCAGGAGTCAACTACTTGGGAGCTTCCTTCGAAGTTGGCGTGCACCTGTCCAAGGGGCAAGGACCAACCAACTGCACACAAATAAGCCAGTAAAACAGATTTACACACAAAATTCAGGCCCTGGCACAAAGCCAGAGTCCATGTGGATGAACAACCAGGACTTTCGGCCACAGCTTACATCCAGTGAACAGGACTTTCGGCCACAGCTTACATCCAGTGAACAGGACTTCTGGCCACAGCTTACATCCAGTGAACAGGACTTTTGGCCACAACTTACATCCAGTGAACAGGACTTTTGCCACAACTTACATCCAGTGAACAGGACATTCGGTCACAGCTTACATCCGGTAAACAAAGAAGAAGCAAATTCTAACATATGACAGCAAATATTGTAGAACCACCATAGATATGGAAAGAAAGTTGAATGCATTTGAAAAAAACTATGAGAAAAACCATGAGCACAAAATGGAATGAATTCAAAAAGAATGAGGTCAGATAAATATCTGGACAAATCCCTGTATCGACTGCAATACAATACAGAAGGTGGAGATGTATTGGGCAACCCTGAGACAAAATGAGCAAAGAATTACAAAACAAGCACTGAAATGGGAAAGAAAACAGTCTGAGAAAAAGAGAATGACCAAAAGACCCATTAAGAAGAACATTATTCCGAAAGGCTAAAAATGCTGGGCTGAACTCCATGTCAGAAATCGAGGGAGCTGCATGTAATAGAGCAGTGTGGAGGATCAAATGCGAGCCTACCTATGTGACATCTAACGGCACACGAAGGATGATGATATTTTCCTACACGTTGTCAGATGCATTCTACAAGTTTTGAGACTTTCCTATTGGCATATTTTATAAAACAAAATTTTGGCTATAGCCTGTGCTCCATCAAGATGCTTCATCTTTTGAGCTACTGTCTTGTTAAAAAAAGTTAGGTGATGAAACAAATCCTTGTCCAACTCTTTTAACTGCTCCGGATCAGCTAACTTTCGATTTATATTGGAAGGCAGATCCTTGCTTGATGTACATATTCCTTATTATTCTAAGGTAGTTCTCGTCTGAGCTCATGCAAAATGACAAAACAAAGGTCTTGATGTTTCATTGTGTCAATGGCACGCAACAGTCTATAAAGCAAGAAAGCTGTTCCTTTACTGTTCTCCGTGAGCATCGATCAAGTGAAAATTGCATTCCATGTTTCTCTATGTGCATGAATTTTAGGCTTAGCTGAACTTAGGAGTCCCTGTCAATTTCAAACATATCACCATGGCTTTCCAGGACTCAATAACAGTTCACTGAGTCACTCATGTAATAGCAAATCATTTTGTCTGCAAATGGACCAGCCAAGGACAGGCTGAGCCAACTTACCACCACTGCCTTGAGGACTTCAGTAGTAATAGACGGGAGAACTCTTTCATCATAGTCAATGCCCAAGTTGGTGTAGATCTTCGGTAGAGCTGGCACTTGTGGTCTGAACAAGATTCTCAAGGTGATGTTGACGTTCTGCAAATCTAGAGTAGGTCACAAGAAACCATCAGTTCAAACAATATAACAGGTTTGGTATGCGAGTGTTAAGGGCCTACGCTCCACTGGGATTTGACAGAAAGATGGAGATGAAGTAAATGAAACCAGAGAAAGATTTCTGTGAAATTCCTCAAACAGCTAAGCAACAATAATAATGTAACCTGAACTACCTTATCTCTGCATAAACCTCATAAAATGTGTGTTGATAATTACATATACGATATCTCTTTTTAAACTCCCCCCCCCCCCACCCCGTAGCTGGTAAATTTAAATATTAAATTTAGATAAAATATTGAATTAGGAATAGCATCACAGTACTTTATACATTTCCATAAGCACTCTGTCCCTATTTTCAGTGCAGTCAGTGCAGAGTTCCAATTCTGATGGTATCAGCAACAGTCCGATTGTATATTTCTCTCCCCTTTCCCTTGAGTACGGAGCGTCCACCATATCCTTTGTCATTACTCGCATCTCCATTCTCCCCTAACCATAATGATCTATTTGTGCCTTATTGTTCACTCTGTCCCAAAGTAGCCTTACATTTGCTTGGCATCAATTCACCACCAAGTGGTGCAGAACCTGCCTGTCTGCCCGCCTGTTCATTTTATAACATACCAGCATCACTTGAAGAAAATATTCAAATGACACTAACTACACAGGACCTCTGAAGCAATGCTTGCCACTCTGCATGGAGTAAATATGGGTACAAGTACTGGGAGAATTTAACAACTGGCTAAGACATAAAATATGTAAAATATGAGATAACCCAGGGGAAGAATCTGAAGTCTTTATAACAAACCGGTCTAGCATCTACGAAGATGATGGTTAATGGTGGCAAGCAACAACAAATTTATTTCAGTTGAACATTTAATCTACTTCTTCTGGGCATTCACTGCTGTAAACTCTGGCGGAAAGTTCTGGTTGTTCATCCACCTCTGGACTTTGGAAGTGTTCCAGAACCTGAATGCTGCATGCACATCCATTTTGAATGATCTGTATTTATTTGTATGCAGACTGTTGGTTCCTTGCCTCTCAAATGCACTCTGACTTTGAAGGAAACCCCAAATTAGTCGACGCTTATGACATGCTTGCTGGGGAGGCAGTGGGTCTAATCTTATTTTTCCCACAGGACTCCGGAACCCACATGGTGAAAACATTTAGTGAAACAAATAATTAAAATGACTGTAGAAACAGACCTTTGCTGCCTGTAATGACTGGTATATTTCTTGGTTTGGATCGAATATCAAAGATGATTGGTCGCTGAATCCAGGGTATCAGGAAATGAGTACCCTCGCCAACAACTTCATCCTGTACTCCTCGCAGTCTGTCAAAAATGACAGCCCGTTGTCCGCCATCAACTGAAAATATAAAATGTGACTACATTACTATTGCTGCTGTTAGGTACAAGATAACACAGCAAGAAGAGGACCCTTTTCACACAGCACCGCATCTATTGCTAGACTTCTCTTTGTATAGACCCACCGACAAGACTGGGTCATGACATCAACTGGGTCATTACATCAACTGGGTCATGACATCAACTGGGCCATGTCATCAACTGGGTCATGACATCAACTGGGTCATGACATCAACTGGATTATGTCATTAACATGTCAGGACTTGACCTGCTACCCATTTTAGGCTAGGTCGACCTAAAAGCCTCATTTAATTTAAAAAAAAAAAAACACTTCAAAGTAGATTTGAACCCAGGACATTTGCACCGGGAGATGAGCGTACAGCCACACTGCTACCAAGGCTCCTGCATGATAAATATGGTGAGATAAATGATGATTTTTAGATTCAAATGAAAGCTTCCACTGATGTCTCATCAACAACTACAAGTACGTACAATTGCCTGGACTGAATATTTATGGACAAACAATCAACAATCTGAAATACGCAGATGACACAGTGCTACTAGCAGAAAGCAAGCAAAGAAATAACAGGCTAATCAAGTCAACAACAGAAGGAGTGTAGAGTATGGTTTCTACATTAGTATTCGAAAAACAAAAACTATTGTAATTAACAATGATGGTAAAAAGTGGCCAATAGTAAACATCACAGTCACAGTAAATGGGGAGTAGAACAAGTAACAAGTTTCTCTTAACTAGGACATGTAGTAACAGATGACTGAAGAAGTGAAACAAATAAAAAAGAGAACAGGAATGGCTAAAGATACTTACAACATTTAGTGACTTTAATTAAAAGTAATGGACCTTTTCCACGCCACTGGCACACAGTGCTAGACCTATATTTTCTATAGACTAATTCTAACTGGCACTCTGTGGTTGATGTGGTCAACATCACACTGACCGCCTTTACTTCCCAGGACATTACCAGCATCAATTTTAATTTTAGGCTGGGTCGAACTGGGAACTTATGGACCCATTTTTCTTTACACAAATACAATTTACTCATTCATACTAATCAGATAACTCTTAAATGAGCTATCCTCCTAATAATGGTCCAAAATAACCAGACCGAAAATATACTTTAACAGGGCCTCAGTCACATGTAAACTGCGGACCTCTTCCGGCGACTACATAGCATACCGCCGAGAGTATCTCCTGCGCCGCTACGCGCTGCACGGGGCATAACTAGATGGCTGGGACTCACGAGCAAAGAACATGGAGGAAGCTGCATGAGATACGGTAGCTGCTGCTCGTGAGTCCCAGCCATCTAATGCTTACCTTCTTTAAGAAAACTAGTTTGTTTACTCCATAAAGTTATTTAACACTGACTCAAAAACTAACTAAACTACCATTTGCTCATATTGGTACTACTGTCTGTACTAGTAACTACTAGTATTTATGGATGAGTATGTCAGTATGAGTATGAGTGATATTGATGACTCACAAATTCATACTACACATGCATATGAATTTCGGCTATCCTCCGAAAAACAATCCCAAATTGCAAACTTCCGGCGACTACTGCCACAGCTGAGAGTATCTCCCACGCAGCTTCCTCCATGTTCTTTGCTCGTGAGTCCCAGCCACCTGGTTTAGCCCCGCTACACGCCACACGTAGCAGCGTGGGAGATACTCTCGGCAGGGGCGGTAGTCGCCGGAAGTTCGTAATTTAGGTCGCAGGAAGTTTGCAATTTACATGTGATCCTGTTAGCTGTTAGGGTATATTTTCGGCCTCGATAATTTGGGACCGGTATTCGGAGAATAGTCGATGTCTGTGGCTTAGGCATTGGGAACGCGCTTCGTAATGTCGGGGTGCCAGGTTTGATCCCTGCTGCAGACGGTTTGTCTTGCGATGGTTTTGACTGTGGTACTGAGAGCCGACTGTCCAGGAAGAAATGACAAACTACTGGACCTAAATTTGCCTAGAAAACCACAACAGCCAGAAAGTGCTGGGCTTGGTTCTGCAACGTCCTGTACTGTAAAGCATACGCAACTAATTTAAAATGTGGAGGATAGCCTGAATTTCAATACAATTATGACTTACTTTCCTTAACAAAACTACCATTTGTTCATTCATGGACGACTCTAAACAAGACTTGGGAAAAAACAAAGTATTCGATTTATCTCGGCTGAAACTGAATATATGATGTTTTCATTTCATTACAAAACGAGAGGCAGCTGTCAACAACCGCTCAGCAAATCACGATGACCTTTGGGTAGTCTTCTTCTTCTTACTTGAAAAATTGCATCAGCTCGGTCAAGACACTTAACTCATTTTACGGAGCAATAAGCTAGAATTATAACTTGGATATTTGCCTCAGTAACGGAACGATAATTACGAATAATTAACAACAATATTTGCAACCAAACGTCGTCGTCTTTTTCATTTGCACAGAAAGTAAACACAAAAGTTTGAGAATGCTCGGTGACTGCTGTGACCGGACCGGCACACAACAGAACGTTAAACGGAGCAGAATGCCTCCTAGCAAACATTTTACTTACCATTATACAATGCTGACTGAACCACACCTCCTGTGACTGCCAAAGCGAGGCCAATCTTTCCTATAGTGTTGAAAATTCTCGCCATTGTGTTGGGACAATTTTTCACCAGATGTGACTTTTATATAATCTATCAGTTTCAGCATGGATGGTGAACCGGAAGTACAGCCATTGAATAAGTGTGAACAAAAATGTTTTCATCCAATCTACGATCCAATCATTTTAATTTTTTCTTCTTTGCAAACAGGACCTCAACAAACATGAAAGCCTACTATTCAAAAATGACCTTTATTGTTCTTGTCAACAGTCATATTGATTGTGTGATCAGCAGCCGAATTATTTGTTATGAGCACAAATGCATGCTTGAATTACGTGAGGTGAACTGTGTGGTTACCTGCACACACACACACGCACACACAAGGTAGATAAAAAGGTATAAAGTCGAGAAATGTGAACCAGCCTCATTGCACATGGCCATAAACCATCAGTGCTCTGCCAAGAGTCCGAAACAGCTGATAATAAACTGTGTCGCCGTCCGCACGCAACCCGTAGCTACAGCGACGTTCCTCCATTTACTCCATACCCAAAGTGTTGACTCTGGTACCCATTTCCTATAGGCTAGGTGAACTCCGGGAACCGCCTGATTTCGAACACCGGCTATGGGCTGCAGCTGGCTCTGAAAGCGAGTCAAAACACATAAGATGAACCACCCAAGAAGCGACAGTCAAATACATAAAATCACGACACTGGGCTACAACCTGACATCAGTGAGACGACAAAAGAATGAGAAAGAAATATTAAGAAGGCTGTAATATATGCGCTCATTGGCCGACACATCCTACGATATGTGTATGATTACTGTATTGCATCTCATGTATAAGTGCCGATGTGCACGAAAGTTTCATGTTAAATGATTAATTAGGAATCGACACCACACTCGGTGATTCACATAAGCGCTCCGTCCTCATTTTCAGCAGCAAGCGCAGAGTTCCAATTCCGATGGTACCAGTATCATCTAATTGCACTTCCGCCTCACATATTCCCTGAGTATTATTGATCATTGGCCAGACCCCCCCCCCCCCGATTACTCACCGCAGCGCCATTCTCCTCAGACCGTGATGATCAATCTGTTCCTCTGCACTGTTTACTGTTTACACTGCACCCTTTCCCCTTACCCTTGCAAGATCTATCTTGTCATGCATCAGTTCATCAACAAGCTGTGCAGAATCAGATTGTCTGCTCTTTTACCAGAACAACGGCTCGCTATGGAGAATACATCAAAACGAAGCTATCTATGCAGGACCTCTGAAGCTATGCTTGCCACTCTTTGATGAGCATTTCTATCACCACCTTTCTCAACATACTCTGTGAGTCAGTTACAGTTACGACATGTGTGTACAGCTGATTCTCAAGTTAGCGGAAGGCTATAGTGATGCTTCCACTTTCATTCCTAAACTAAATGGTGTGGTGTCATATGCCAGGCTTTGTTGCACTAAGCGACGTCCATTCGCTGTTGCTAAAAAATCCTAAGAATCTCGCTGACCAGAGCCATCAGTATAAACAATCACATCACCTGTGAGAAAATAGACATGAATCATTTGTTGAACTGACTCTGTAGCGCGCGCTGGCCAGTCCCTGCTCTCACAGCCAACTGTGATCATAACCCTACACAAGTCTGACATTTTATGTTTCTTTCATTAACTGTGAGACGTCGAATATCAGCTTTTAAAATTCTATTGTCGAGAGGGCACCACAAAACAGTTGCACACTAGTCAGTCACTTTGTCTACAGTTGCCTATAGCTCTTGGGCTGTCTGCTGCACGGACGTTCATGTCAATAAAACTCCATGTGAATATCGCAGCTGTGTTTGGGTCTTTCCTTGGAGGAACTTATGCTGTGTGACGTGTGTGCGGGAAAAAACGTTGCATAATTCAAGATGACCGGATGCGGCTGCTGGTGTTGACCTTCTGCTGAATGTCCTCCATATTGGCCTATAAAACGCCTTTTAGACAACATCCGTGTAGAGTCTACCCTTGCTGCCTGCAACAACGTAACAAGATCAGTAGCATCCAGATTAGTCCTCACTCTATTCCACTGACTTCATGAGAGTTCAAGAAACCCAGTCAAATTAAGAAACCGTGCATCCGTATCTAGTGGAAGACCTCGGAAAACAAGGAGTGATGGCATTAAGAAAAGCCTTACAGAAATAAACATCAGTTTTAATAGTGCGTCGGCTCTGTGGTTAAGTCGATGCGAACGCTTCGTAATGCCGGGATGCCGGGTTCGATCCCATCTGCGGGCCATGCGCCTTGCGTTGGTTTCGACAGTGGTATCAAGAAAGCCGATCGTCCAGTAAGCAATGGCAAACTACTGGACGTAAATTTGCCTAGAAAGACCACACAACAGCCTGTGGCTGTTGATGTTGGTTCTGCGACGTCCTGTAAAGAATACGCAACTAACCTTAATAATGCTCTTGACAGAGCTCATCAACGAACATTACATCTTCCCACAGACACTTCGATGAGGTACAAGGTGGAAGAGAAGAAGAAGAAGAAGAAGAAGAAGAAGAAGAAGAAGAAGAAGAAGAAGAAGAAGAAGAAGAAGAAGAAGAAGAAGAAGAAGAAGAAGAAGAAGAAGAAGAAGAAGAAGAAGAAGAAGCATCCGTATCTGGCCAGAATGTTTTAGATGGGAGTGAGCAGAGTGTCTGGACGATTTTCTGACCGGCGAATATGGGAGTGGGGTGGGGGTGGGGGGAGGATCCTGTTAACAAACCAACCACTTATCCAACAAACCAACAAGTCAGCCTTCTGTAGCACCGATATGCGCATTTAAAACTCTCACGAACATATCTGAGCAACGCTAGCACCTGTCAATAGCTTAACCTAGATTAAAGAAGCTGGCAGACTTAGCGATGAAAACAGTCTAACTACTGGAGTGCATTCACACACCTGCTGTTTAGTCGCTTGTTTCAGTCCGGATCTTCTTTTCTTAAACATTTTGACTTCTTGAAATCCCAGAGACTGTTCCATAAGAACGGGCAAATAAACACAGCTTTCTTTCGTCTTAACAGAATGTGGAACTCTAAATAGTTACTTGGTTAGTTAATCCTCACTGCATATCGGATAAGCCCATACGCGCACGGATCCCATCTTCAGGATATTCCCCATCTTATGACGACTGAAAACACAAGTTCCGTGTTGGTTTACTATTCTTCCTTGGCTATCTGTATAGTGTTCATGTCTGGCGACACCTCCTTTGAAGCAAAGTTCTTGTAGTCTGTTGAATGTTGCCAGTTCCGTTGTCTCCTGAATCATCAACTCAGTCCGCCTCCTTGAGAGCATTGAGAATGTCTGCACGGTCTATTGCTTGTCCCCTACCTACTGTAGCCCTTCCGGCAAGCCAATTAGCTCTTTTAATTCCTCTTACTGTTAGTCACTTTTTTGGGAGGAGGGGCTGTTTGCTCCGCGTGCTCTGTACGTTTGGCTATTTGCTGTGTGCTCTTGGCTATTTGCTGTGTGCTCTTGGCTAGTTGGTTTGTGAGGCAAAACACGTGTAAGGCTGAATTTCCGTTGGTTAGTCTTTTATGGGTTTTAACGTAACGTGGTTTCAGAGGACTAAGTCGACTTAGTGGTTTCTTCGTGATGTTACGTTCAATAGTTAAGAATGATCTTAATCTAGGTCTCAGTTTGTATTTGATTCAGAGTAGTGCCTGTAGTTTGCACATGTGGTATATCTAAGTGCGGTCTGTGTAGTTTTATATGTGTAGTTATATGTTAGACGACAATTCTAGTTCTGGCTACTACAAGATGGTTTGTGTCTATTGTTCAGGTAGCATTGTTATTGTTTAATTCCATCATCATATATTTACTTGTGTCGATTATCAGTGTAATATGTGCCTGCGATAATCAATTTCACAAATAAAGTTTATGTAAGTGTTGACTGAAATATTTTGTTACTTAGTGTGCCTGGTTACTGCTGATTAGACTTCACACAGAACATATCCTATCAGAACTAAAATACTATGGGTCTTAGTCCCCCCTAACGAACTTTATTTTCTTTTTGTTACTGAGGCAGCGTGTGTGTAGCTTTGGCTTCCACTCACCACGATAATATTTGGTGGAGCTCTTGTAGGCTTGAAGTAGAGATATGTCCAAGGAGAAGATTTGTATACTATCCTTCATGGTGTCTCTTTCTTTCTTTCAGTCTACAACATCTCCATTAGGCTTCGATTCTAATACAATTTTCAAGGACAATTTTAATAAAATTGACATAACAGTATCAGATGTCGATAAACAGGAGGACTTGAGCTTTGCCGACAATCAGTGAAAGTAAACAGCTGCAGGACCACATAAACCAGCTATGCGACCGTTGCCTTAAACACGGAGATCAAAAATGAAAAAAGAAAAAAGTCAAGAGAATAATTATAGAGAGCAACAAATCGGATTATAACAAATGTGAAATGGTTTGGTCATCTAATGAGAATGAAACCTGAAACAACCTGAAAATCAGAACACCAAGAGGCAGGGGGAAGCCGAAAAGAATATGGTTTGAAGGAGTCTGACACCTTGCGACTGCATAACATCACAGCAAATCAAGCAGCCGAGCGCCCCCTGGATCGGCTGCCGATCTTCTAATTGACTGCGACGCCTAGCGGCATAATCATATTTTGACAAAAGAAAAAAAGATATATTTTACAGTTTTCTGAGATTAGCCTAAATTCGCCACTGCCTTCATGTCCCGGACATCTACAAATAAGTAAGTTTTACCCTACCAGTACATCACACAGACACCCGGTGACACAAATTGCCATCATGCAGATGAGGATCACCCGTGGAGAGGTCCCGGAAACGCCGTTCAACCTTTAGGTTAGGGTATTTATATACGCTGAAATACTTTGGGTAAATTTTCAACTCCAAATTTTGCCCGGACCGTGCCGTTAGGCTATAATTTTCGATTTCCATCTGCCAAGGGATTTTTTTTATGAGCGCAACAACACACACGGGCGTCCGATCTCACTACCCAGAGACCAGGGGAAATTACTAGAAGTCCATTAAAAAAAATCCCAGCCTGAACCCGAGACCTCTAGCA